CTTATAGGATAGCAGCACTGTAAACATTACAGTTTACATGTTAGGCTAAGGGCATTACCTTGTTTTCTTTTTGTTTTGACTTTTGTTACATGTACGTACTGATTTGAAGTAAAAGTAGAAACCCTGTATAGGAGTTTGGCATTTTTGTATCATGTATGTTGAAATCGTTATCAAGTCGATTCTTTCATCAACTTAATGACAAATGTTTGTTTTTATGGCCTATAGATGCATTCAACAACTTTTTCAGTGTCACCGTGCGGCTTTTTTATTAAGTCCAAGAAGCCCAAAAGCTGATACGACTGGCGATTGATCAAAAAGCTGATTGTGACAGACGATTCGATTGCATCATCACAATATTAAAGGTAAAAAGAAACACTTACAATAAAAAATCAAAGTGTACATCTGTAATGAATCCTTCATGGCAAAATATTTCTTGATATTTTCTTTTTGTTCTTTTATAATTCTACATTGTTTGCATGGCTTTATCAAAAATAAATTCAACTCAATAATATAGAAGTTGCATTCTACATTATGAAACAATTTTTATCCAATGCACTTTTAAAATATGGTAAGTATAAATAGAATATACTGGCCTTAAAACCTACATATATGAAACAATACAATAACTTTGGGGGGGGGGGTAAATAGAATTTTTGAATTTCAGCAAAAAATTAATAATAACAGTGGCAACTTGCAAGGTACATATATGCATGTGTATGTGTTGAAAGTACATCAGATAGCTAATCCATTGAATATTTTCATCTATGTATTCCTTGACAGACATATAAAAAAAAATTCCAATGCTTTAAATTACTAATAAAGAACCTAGTTTCAGGTAAAATGTAAGATATTTAAGACTATTGAGAACCTTCACAATTGTATACTCTCTTTTTTGTAGTTTAAGTTTAAGTTATGCTTTGAAAATATCTAGTGTGTTAATATTGGCTTTACAGGTTCAATATACAGTCAGCCTCCCATATGAAAATATCCAAAGATCCTAAAGCTTGTTTCAAAGTAAAGGTAACTTAACACACTGTTTAACAGACTTTGTTATATTCTTCCCAACAAAGTTTGGGATATCCTGGAATCACAAAGTCTGTTTTTCTGCTTATCTACTTGTCTGTAATTTTCTTTTTATCCAAAAGTAATGTATTTGTGTTAGAATCTTCTTAATTTTTGGCGTTAATACTATTTGATCATTCCAAATTCAGTTGACAAAAGTAAAAAAATGATTTTAATATGAAGCATATCTTTCAATAGTGTAATTTTCTTGCAAAATTCAATTGTTAAAATAAAAAAAAATGCTTTTATGATTTTATTATGAAGCATATCTTCCAACAGTGTCTTGCAAATTACATCATAGGATTTCACAAAACACCTAGTATAAAATATATAATATTAGTTTTATCTCGTATCATATCTGTGTCGGTGAATTGGGAATACATTTGTTTGCTGATGATAAGTTACTTTATTATAACTTGAGGAATTGATTTTGAAATTTAAGAATTATTTTATTTTTATTTTTGAAATTTTTGTAGAGACCGTTCTGTGCCACAAAGAAATTGTTCAGATAGGGGGGAACTGGTGGATTTGCATTTTTGGTACAATTCAAAGAGATTTTCAAAATGGTCAGATCAGAGGGAGGCCAACTGAAAATATTGAAAAGATACAGAAGGAAAAAGAACCTGGATATATATGAAATGATTGTGAAATGTGGAGGATGTACACAATCTTGTCTGAATTTGAAAAGATTTCCCATTTTTATTTGTATGCTAGTATATCAAATAACTTGATTTTCCATAGATTTACAATAGAGAATACATGACAAATGTTATTGCTGATATTTCAATTTTGCTGTGGAAACTTTCATGTTATATCGTATTTTTATACAAGTATATGACCTAATTATTTTATTCATTTGTACATGTATATATGTTTAATAACTTAATCATTATACTGAAATCTTTGTAATTTGTACTCATTTTAGAATATGTTAAATACATGTATCGACAAATGCTACTTACTTGTTTGTATATTTTCTTGTTTAGAATGTACACTGTGAAAAATAAGTTATTTCTCTTGATGAAAATAATTTTATCAAAAAAGTTATTTAAGCATTATAAGATATTTTAAAATATTTAACCAATGAAGATAGATCATTGTAATGTAATGAATTTTCATCTAAAGCAGAAATATCTGATTTTTAAATGTGTTCAAGAATGTGAAAAATATTGAAAGAGAACACACTGTTTCATATGATTTACACATGATGCCTCTTTCATATGATTCTCATATGTAAATGGCTTGAAACACACATAAGTGTTTCATATGATTTATATATGATGCCCTTTTCATATGATTCTCATATGTAAATGGCTTAAAACACACTGAAATCATTCATATGCAAATCATATGTAGTTATTTTCATGATTCACATATGTGGATTATATGTAAATCATATAATTTTCTTCATATGATTCACAAATGATGCCCTTTTTCTATGATTCTCATATGAAAACAATTATATGAGAATCATATGATACTCATATGAAAATCATATGTGGCTAAGTTGCCTGTGTAAGCTTGTTAATTGCGCAATTCCAATTAAATTTGGTTTGAAAATGAAAGGAAAAATAATGATGAATGATTATGAAATAAAAAAGAAGTAAAATGAAATAATTTAAAAAAACATTCTGTATCTCGGAAGTCGACATTTTACCGTTTCTGTTTCGAGTTTATAGAGCGCATTTGTATCCTGTTCTGACAGAGCTACTGGCATGCGGATCAAATGCTGGTGGGAACGCGGTTTTTAGTAAAATGTCATCGTCCAAAGAGTTCATTTTCATGAACCCATGGTCCTTACAACTTTCAGTCAACAGTTCGTTTGATGTTAGGCTCCAGCAATTGTCACATAATGTTTTCAAAGATAGCAAAAATTCTAAATTTTGAACACGATCTGCTTTCTTTCGAGGGATGTCCACATAAACGGTGCTACGTCATCAAATTATACGTCATCAATTTGAATTAGCAATCATTCTGTCATTTTGCAGGGGAAGTCTCAAAGTTTTGTTAAAACGAAAGTCGTATGAAATAAATAGAACATCTATAATTGTGTGATTTGATATTGGCCTTATCCAACTCGTTGAAATGGTGAATATTCGCTCCGCATGTTTGAAAGATCATTTATCAGTTCATGACAAGCTAAAAAAAATGTTCAGACGGAAGTTATCTACTAAAGAAGATTATTCTTAATATGTATTACAGTCAAGTTAAGCTTGGGGTTTATTATTTTTTATATTATTCTTTTAAACATTCATATATGTAGACATCTGCATTACCAGCGCTAAAATTTAAGATTAAAAATCGGGATCGAAATACAAAAATACTGTCATAAGACATTTTAAAGGTTAAGACCAAACAGACGCAGGCGTCAAAAAGAGTAGGGCCTAGGCCTATATTATTATAAGCTTGTAAAGTCACAGTTAAAAGCATTATTCTTGGGAGGTACAAGAGTGAAATAATTGGTAATTAAAGTCAAATATCCTAGACATAACCCAGTGTTTACACTAGAGTTTATATGTAAGTTATTAACAAGGAAGTAAATTATGGCTATAAACATCGTTTATAAAATCGCTCTTGCCACAGGGACTTGCTCCAGGCGTGTAATAATTATTCATTAAAAAATAATATACCAAAATAATAAAACTACACAAGGGAGGACGCCATTTTGGACCCCTTCATCGCTTCAGTCTCTGTTTTCGTTATATTTTGCCGTATTTTTACAGACTCACCGCCACGGATCTGTCAAGAAATGATTCTTCTAAGACCCTATGCTGAAATTTCCCCCTTGGAGCCTCTTTAATACACATTTCAGACTAAAATAATCCAATCTCGCTCGTTAAGACAGTTGATATGGACAGGAAGTGAAAACAAATTCGGTTACCTCGGGATTTTTCCACTATTTGAAACAACTGCTAATTATAAATTTGAAAAAAAAAACGTGTTCTTATTCTGTATTCGAATGTAAAACGCCGGGGTTAATTACGCTTTCTGAAAATCAAAATAAACATGTCATAGCTAGGTCAATATTATCTTTTAAAATGATATTTCAATTAAATCTTTTGATGCACAACTCAAGATGGAATTTAATGAAATGAAATTAAATGAAATGGATATAATTTCTCCTTTTTTATTTTTTGCGAATTAAAAATGGTTGCAAAAATGCCAAAAATAGATCATCGTGAAAAAAAATGGATATACGGTATGTCATGAAATACAATTTCGAATATAAATATTTTTTTTTCACTTTAACATAAACTTTTATTCAAATTTTTTTCCCCCAAAAGCTAAAAGAAACTTAAGGTAGTGGAGCAGCAAAAATATTGGGTAGGTTGGGTAGCACTGTAGTAGTTCCAATTAAGTCGAGAAGCACAATTCAAGAAAAAAATTAATGAAAGTCCATATTTTAAACATATATGTCATGAAATACAATTCAATTGTATTTTTTTTCACTTTAACATAAATTTCCTGCCTTTTCAATTTTTTCTCCAAAAGCAAAAAAAAAAAAAAAAAAAAAAAAATAATAATAAAATTAAAAAAAAAAAATGGGTAGGTTGGGTAGCAGGAAACAAGACGATTTCTTCTTTTAGCCTTGTAGTATTTAACAAGCTCAAGGCTTCATTATTTATATATAGGTTAATCATCTCAATTTATTTTGACAGATTTCCCAGAATCCTACCATCCAATTGTCTAGAATAGGAAAGAATCATCTCCTTGTTACAGGTTTTTTTTTTTAAAAAAATTCTTACATGGGTACATGTATATTAATTGACCCTAGTAAATTGTAAGCATTAATTTACATTATACTTGTATTCATATACATATATACTTCAAGTTTTGTATACATGTATGTATAAACATATCTTTAGAAAGCATTATTTGAACTTAAACACTTCTGGTGTTTTACAAGCTAAAGGACTTTTTATTTATATATATATAGGTTACATGTAATAGTCTCAATTTATTTTGACAGATTCCCCAGTGTGCAATATCCAACCATTGTCAGGGAAAGGGAAGCATCATTTCCTTACAGGTTTTTAAATCTCTTTTACCTAGAGGATATATATTTAAAGTTTTGTAATTGAATGTAAAAGATAGATATATTTCACAAGTGGGACAGAACTTTTTTTTGTATTTTTCATGAATGTGAAGTATATAGGAAAAAGAAAAAATCTGTCTCGATATCAGGAGTAAAATGAACTCAATATGCAACTACAAAATATTGAACTTTTCTGTTCATAACATATTTAGCTAACCTGATTTTAAGTGAGCTTTTCTGATCACATTTTGTATTCTATCTGTCTATAAACTTTACATATTGTAGCTCACCTGAGCCCCCAAAAATCACATGAACTTTTCTGATAATAGTCTGTGTGCTCTCTGTCTGCCTTTCTGTAAACTTGACACATTTCATCTCACCTGAACTTAAAACTCTGTGAGTTCTGAGGCCCAAAAAAAATATAAAATGTGTTTCTGGTAACATGTCCCTCAAAATTAGAGTAGGTAGGTAGGCAATTTCTTTTTTTTTACTTTACTTTTTATTTTAACTCAACATTATATTTGACTGTTTCTTAGGTAAACTTTGTATTATATTAAATATTAAGGCCTGCTTCCACTTCGACCACATTACATGTAATTTAAAAGACAATATAGTTAATACCCGTCTCTTTCACAGACGATAATATCAGAGTTAATCTGCCCATGTTGTTCGTAATGCCACCCGACATTATACTGGTATATGATCTTAAAACCACGAAAGTCAATCCTTTGCTAGCTTCAAAATTATGAATATCTCCATATAAATGTCCCACAGTCCAGTGCCAATGAAAGTTATTTATTGCGTTAATTTCGGGTGAGTGTGGACAATTCTTGAGCTTAAACCCAATGACAACATGTGGTGGACTTGGGGTTATATATCCCTGGAGTGTTTGCTTGGCTGTCCCTAGAGCATTTTAGATGAATTGGAGTGCATTTTAAAACTGAATTATTGGGGGTCAATATATTTCACTTATGCAATTTTTTATATATCATTGGATTCGTAATAAATTGAATTATTTTAATCTTTTTACAAAATTTTTATTGTTATTTTCTATATTGTAATTTTCTATAAATAAATAATTAAGGTGAGAGGTGTAAATCACAAAAAAGATATTTTAAACATATAAAACGGCTTAAATATGCCAATGTTGTTTGTAAAAATTATGTGTGATAATATAATTGATGGTTATATTGTAAAATATTTATTATCCATTTTATAAGGTTGATTCCTCAGAAATCAATACATTATAGTGATACTACGATGTCATTCTCGCCAACAAATTTTCAGACTTGAGTGATACAACTTGATTTCTAAACATGCTAAACTTTTTGAATATTTTAATGAATTAAATTCTATTTTAAAAATAATTATTTTCTACCCCTTTACATTTAGAAGTATGTGTAAAATAGAAGGTATCCTCTAAATTTCTGAGAAATCGGTAACGAAATCGACACTGCGCGGTCCTGAACTTCACAAAATTTCCGTATCTCATATTGAAGTATTTTACACATATAAATCAATATAATTTTTAAACCTTTCAAGAAATATATAGCTTATAGCTTGAATTTCATGTAATGATTTACTGAATGATCAAAAATTGCGTATTGGCTGTGTTATATGCTAAGAAAATATCGTAAGTAACAGTCCGCCATTTTGAATTTCGGTGGGACTTTCCAAGATTCTTTTGTTTGTTTACACAGGTAAATCATCTGATTTCTAATTGTACTACGATGCAATCATATTTTTAACCTGCAGGTGGCTACCTGTGCTCTGATAGTTTATTAACAAGCGGTAATTACAAGTAAAATCATCATTGAAAATATACATGTGTCAACATTTGGTCAAAAGTCTCATGAGGTTTGGGGGCTTAGCGTCAATATTCGTCATTAAAGGGTAAAGGAGGGAACAATCTAAGGGGAAAAGAGCTATTTTATACGCATGTATAATCTTTAGACGCTTGAAAAGACATTTTTTGTTAATTTATTACAAGTGCCTTTTTAACTGTGCACGCTCTGAAGACTGTAGTTTTAGAACAAATTATGGTATACGTAATCCGGATTTGCAATAAAAAGTGCTAGGGTCGGCGTGTAAAATTAGGGTCGGTTGGGTTACCGGAAAAAACATATTTTTTGCCAGATCACATTTTGTCCAATGTCAATCGTCCGTCTAGCTGTCCGTCTGTAATTTTTTCACATTTTCTACTTCTCAAGAACCGCTGGGCCAAGGGGAGATAATCATGAAAAGACAAAAATAGGGTGGTGTCATTAAAAAATCTTCTTCTCAAGAACCACTGGGCCAGAAAAGCCGAAAATTTTGTGGAAGCATCCTGGGGTAGTGTAGATTCTAAATTGTTCAAATCATGACCCCGGGGGTAGGGCGGGGCCACAATAGGAAATCCAATTTTACATAGAAATATATAGAACAAATCTTTAAAAATCTTCTTCTCAAGAACTACTGGGCCAGGAAAGCTAAAACTTTTGTGGAAGCATCCTGGGGTAGTTTAGACTCTAATTTTTTAAATCATGACCCCCGGGGTTTGGACGGGACACAATAGAGAATCAAAGTTTTACATAGAAATATATAAGAAAAATCTTTTAAAATCTTCTTCTCAAGAACTAAGGGGAAATTTGGGTTAAGAATAGCATGGTCAAAGCTTCTCAGGTGAGAGATGTGGCCCATGGGCCTCTTGTCTTATCACCAGACCAAGCGGGTCATAAGACTTAGACAACTTCACTTTCGATCTCAATGAATCTCACTCTTACTAAAAGAATATTTAGTTGGAAAGTGAGACTGAGATCAAAAAGTGAGCTCATCTAAGTTTTATGCCCCCCCTCCTCACACGAGTAAATCAGGTGACCTATTGCTATCTGTTTTTGTCCATTGTTGTACGCGCGGGTATGTTAAGGCAGCACATGGATCAGAATTCGGCGAATTAACCCTTTTTATAATTATGTAACACTAATAAAACGAAAAAGTCAAGGATAAAACTTTTGCTATAATTATGCATTCTATAGACTTCAATGAGATTTATACTACAGGAGGCACTTCACCACAACGTCACCACGTGACGTCTATAATTAGAAAAATATGTCTTAATAAAAAAGTGAAAAGTTTAAGACTACCCGGGGATAATTAGTTTCAATTTGTAAAAATAGTTATGTAAAAACATCTCTGTAACATGAAAAGTGCGGCTAGAATCGTACTGTTCTATTGTAGAAATAATTATTCAACAATTTCGGACGAAACCTTCCCAAAATTTTAACATTTTGTTCATAACAATGAAAAAAAAGCATCAATTCCGGAAAACCATACGATTCTAGCGCCCCCCAAAAACAAAAGAATAAGAATTTTAAATAGAAACAAAATTTAAGTTTCAAGGTATGGGGCGTAGTGTTGAACTTTTGCATCTTTTTTGTTACGAATGACAGAGGAAAGGCTGATCGGCAATAAAACCCCCCGCATAATTTTACGAAGAAATAGAAAAATTTTATTACCATACCTTTTCATACCTTATTCCCACAAGAATCACACATGATATTCATTCTAAATGCTTTTAAACTACGAAATCTTGTGTTTGTTTACATCAATTCTCGTTACATTTCACTTTCACTCTGCTACTGCATATAAAGTTATACTAGGGTTTTGGGATAACCCGTGTGATAACTACAGAGGCCCAGGAACCAAAATTCCCTTTATATTATGCCTCTGCATATTTTTATTATTTTTCTCCTCAAATAAACTTACATATCGATTTTAAGAAATGATTATCTCTAAATCACGTCATATAGCTTACTATGAGTATAACAATAGGGAAGTAGAATATTTGGTTTAACCTTAAACCCCGCGCTGTTCGTTGAGTGTAATCTTATGACCTTATGAACATTTTTCGCTTCTCTAAACCACTGAACCAATTTCAGCCTAATTTTGCATATAGCATAATTTATGAGTGAGGGGAACAAAAATTTTGAATTTCATCCCCCCCCCCCGGAACCTGAGGGGTGGGGCCAAAACCATAAAATTAATTCAATCAGAAAAAAACTTCTCCTTTTCTCATAGCCATCAAGCAGTCAAACTTTTTACATGATTGTAATAAAAAATTTAGTCCTTACCTAAATTGTGAAACTCATGGCCCCGGGGTCAGGGGTTCTGGTGTTAGGACAGGGGTCTTTTTATTATATAATGAAAATGCATTAATTCTTTGAAAATCAGTTTTCTCTGTCCCTGGGTGTTAAACAAACTAAATAGTACATATATTTATACATGTATTTATAATGATGAAAGGTGTCTATTATAACATGTATAAAATTTTGAATTTCATGGCCCCAGGATGAGGGATTCTGGTGTTAGGGTTTGGCTATATTTATTACAGTTCTATATGTGAAATATAACTTCTTTGAAAATCTTTTTTCTGCCCCTGGGTATCAAACAAACTAACTACATACATACTAGGGATGGCAATTTGTAACCGGTTAACCAATTATTTGGTCGGAATGATGGGAATAAGTTATAAAATTTTTAATCGGTTAGTCGGAAAAAATAAAATTTAACACAATTTTCTTAAAATTTATTTCAAAAAATGAAATCGCTGCACATAGGGTTGAAAATCTGCGTTTTTCAAACAAGAATATATGTATTTCAATACAATAAACTGGTTAATCGGTAGTAACTTGATGCAGTTAACCGATTAGCAGTTTCTGCATTTGATTGCCATCCCTTAAAAATACATGTACTTATGATGAAAAAAATGTGGCTCTTCCAAAATTTGTGAATTTCCTTGTCCCTGGATAAGGGGTTCTGGTTCCAGATTCATGAGACAGACTTAGACTGAAGTCAAATTTTTAATCGCTGTGAAATGTTTATTAATGATTGGAATACTAACAATATATAATATGCATAGGGTCGACGTAGGGGGATAGTCCCCCTCTTCCTATGTTTTTTTTGCAAAATTAGACATTTTATAGGCATTAAAAATTGGGATTTACCTTTTTTGTTGGGTTACACCCCCCCCCCTTCACTTTCAATTTTCTTCCATGCCAATGTATATGTGGGGATAAAACTATATCACTCATACAAAATACTACACATGATATACATAAACATGTACAGTACTGTATGTACATGCAGTATATTTGTAAATGTACATATGCAGTATGTAATTTTTACATGTTTTTAAATAAATATTGATAAAACCAAACACTCAATCCTACAAAAGCTCTCATTCGAATTTCAAAATGAAGACAAAATATTTTTTATTTAAATAAATAAACTGGAGAAATGTATGTTATGTAATAATGGTGAATAATAATATATTCTTTATTTTCTTTACCCAGAACACAGTAACAAGATGAATGGAGGCTATACAGTTTTTACCAGATACAAGAAATCAGTGTGGTATACATTTCTCTGTTACTTTATATAACTGTACAGTTGTTACCAGATACAAGAAATCAGTGTGGTATACATTTCTCTGTTACTTTATATAACTGTACAGTTGTTACCAGATACAAGGAATCAGTGTGGTATACATTTTTCTGTTACTTTATATAACTGTACAGTTGTTACCAGATACAAGGGATCAGTGTGGTATACATTTCTCTGTTACTTTATATAACTGTACAGTTGTTACCAATACAAGAAATCAGTGTGGTATACTTTCCTGTTACTTTTATAACTGTACAGTTGTTACATTGTATCAGACACAAGACATCAGTGTGGTAAACATTTCTCTGTTACTCTTATAATTATGTAATTTGTTACCAATACAAGAAATCAGTGTGGTATACATTTCTTGTTACTTTATATACATGTAACTGACAGTTGTTACCAGATACAAGAAATCAGTGTGGTATACATTTCTCTGTAACTTTATATAACTATACAGTTGTTACCAGATACAAGAAATCAGTGTGGTATACATTTCTCTGTTACTTTATATAACTATACAGTTATTAACAGATACAAGACATCAGTGTGGTAAACATTTCTCTGTTACTCTATATTAAATCAGTGTGGTATACATTTCTTGTTACTATTTATAACCATGTCACTAGACTCACAACACACTGTAGAAAGAAAATATAAATTACCGTATAAGTGGAAATTTTAGCGAACACAAATTTAGCGATTTGTCCCTAAAAACTGGTAATTTATTTTTAGCGAGATGTTAATTTAGTGCTTTTAAAATGCACATTAATGTATCTATTAGAAATAAAACGCGATTAATTTTAAGCTTTATTCAATTTTAGCAATCTTGGCACCCTCGCTAATAATGCCAAAATTAAATACTCGCTAAAAATTTACTTATACGGAAATAATTTTTGAGTATACTGTGTAACTTATGAAGTTTTTGAATTCTACTGGAAAAGTTGACATGTAATATTTCAAATGAGTTCATATTATACTTTTTTTAAGAAACGAACTTTTAGTTTTCAACGATGTTTCAATTTATTAATATTGATTATTTAGATCAGACTTATGGTGAACTGTTGGACCCTGCAAGAGAGAGAGATTTGTAAAGGATTCATATCAGTGTAAAGGTATTTATGTTTTTCTGTATCTTAATTCAATATAATATTCTTATGTTATTAAAACTAAGACATTGATATATGCTTACAATTATAAATAGAGATGTGTAACTGATGAGATAATTCTGTTACAATGTTGTAATTTACAGAAATCTCCCTGACTGAGGAAATCCACACGGGATTCTGTTTTAAAACACCAGGATAAAGAAATAAATGTCTGCTGTAAATAATGTATAGAGCAGTGTACCAGAAATCTGTCAGAGTGAGAGGTGTTAGTCAGTGTCTTCACATTTCCCGTGTTACATCAGACCGGGTCTGGATCAGTGATGATAGAGGCAATCTTATACTGACAAACACTAAAGGAGAAGAACTAGACAGTGTGACAGATAGAGGTAGTGATGTATTGGGAGGACACACTGTGGACTCTAACGGTGATCTAATTTATATAGACAGGGAATTAAACATCAATAAACTGTCCAAAGATAACAAAGAAAAGACTACGATAATAAAGTACAACAAATCATGGAGACCAAAGTGTGTCTACAGTTCCCCCTTCAGTGGAACCTGCTGGTCGGGATGTATATAGGATTACAGGCAAGGTAATGAGGTATAACTCCACAGGAGAAAACATCCAGACCATACAGCACAACAACAACAACACAGGTCAAGGACTGTATCATATACCTAACTACATCACAGAGAACCGCAATGGAGATGTATTGTGTCTGAATCTCTCCGTGGTGTAGTGGTGACAGATCGTGACGGTAAATTCCGGTTCTCCTACAGAGGTCCTCCATCAGGATCACGATTAGCACCAGTAGGAATCTGTACTGACGCGCTGTCATACATCCTGCTGTGTGATTGGAGAACCTGGTCAGTACAGATGTTAGATAGTGATGGTCACTATCTGACAAGATACTGACACCACAACACGGGATAGGCTTACCATGCGGCCTGATTTATGATGATGACTCTCAGCTACTGTGGATAGGGTCAAACAACAACAGCACAGTCAACATATACAGAGTGGTAGATAGAGACTCTCTGACTGGTAAGAAACATTGTAGTCTGTTTGATTGTATTTTATAATTATAATACTTATACTAATTAAAAACACCATTATGTTAGGGGATTATTTAAGAATAACTAGTTACTGTATGATACATGTACATTTATATATTCAAGTGTTTATTTACTAGATGAGTGCTTAAGTTTAATCACAAATGATTAATCAATATGTTAAACAACAAACATGAGATGGTAAAGATAAAGTTTATGAATACGAACATGATAAAAATATTAAAAAGAAGTGATAGATCTACATCCTGTTTATCATTAATTGTATAGCGTCCATGTGTTGTGTGTAGTTCTTCAATCACTATTCATGTTCATTGATGTTTGCTTCATAGATTTTTGTACAATATACATCAGATATACTGTCAATGGTGAATAATTACCTACTTTTGAAATCTTGTGCTGTTTTTTGAAATTTGTACGATAAATACAATGAGTGAAGAATGGTTCATTTTTGACAAGTAGTTAGTGGATTAAATTTTTAAAAAACTTTTCTAATTATTACAATATCCTTAACATACTTAAGTTTTATAATGTACTAGTGTTCAGTTGATGTAAATTCTACCATGGTTACATTTAAAACAGATGACAATTTGTACATGTTGTACTGATGTTGACAGTTAGATATAGACATCATTGATATTAACACAGCTCAGTCTAGGAATGTTGTGTATTTCTGTAGCAGGTGTTCAGTAAATCTACACTGTGTACTGGGGTGACATTTTGTTTTTAAAACTTCTAAATGAATATGGAGATAACCAAAAAAATATTTCTTCATAAATCCATAATAAAGTTTAAGATTCACTTCAACTTTATGAACAAAAAGTTCAATTCTAAGACACCAAAGAATAAGCCTGAATACAACTACAGTGACTTGCTTATGAAAGGGAGACAATCCAAAACTTGTATTTGAATGTGAAGAAGAAAATTAAGTACTTCCCATTAAGGCATTTCATTATAAAGGTGTAAAAATAATTCTTGAAAAAAAAATTAGCTTTCTGCCTTGTTTTGAAATAGTTTGTCCATGAAACTAGAAATAAAATTTTATTATTACTGCCTGTATAATGAATTACAAGATATGGTGAAGAAGGAAATAATTGTATATATATTATCATTACTAGATTTATTCTGTATTTGTAACCATATGATCCCAATTACAGGAATTTAAGAGACTGAAAGCCTGTAACTGATAATGCACTTAAAGTGTTTTATTTGTACACTGTTATACAAGCATTGAGGTCTCTGACAGAAATGTAGGGTTGATTTCTTTGGGTTTTAATATAATGATACTTGGGCTGGGGGTAGGCTGGGGGTATGGGTGTTGGATTGGGGGGGGGAATGTAAGGTATGATTGTTCTAGTTCAAGTTATTGTGAACCTAAACGAATTATTGAACTTAAACGACTGAACACAAAGACTGCATACACACTATTTATGAGGAAATAATTGGATTTATACTTTTATTTTATATTTAAAGTAATCCCTGACCCACCCTGAAGATTGTGTGTGTCACTGTGTCACTGTTTTGTGTTTTTTATTGGGAAAAGGGGGTGTCCTTGTAAATATCATTGGAGTTGTGTGAGGAAATCTTCCTTGACACAAAGGTTGCATACCAAAATTGTGGAATATTATAACTCTTATAGGTCATGTGAGTTTGGCTAAGATTCATCAGTACTTTGTTAAAGTGCATTTTTAATTTAAAGTACATTGGCCATGAATGTTTTATTAAGCAATTTAACATTGATTGGTCATCTGTGTGATGATTAAAAAGCTTGTCATTTTATCTAAGGTGTTACGGACCAAAAGTTATGTTGGCAAGTCATAGAAAATCAATTTATAGTCATACTCAAAGAGTGCGTAGTAAATCATGCCTTTAACATGTAAAAGTAAAAAAGATTTTGGAAGATGCACCGTTATTTAATATTTTAATATTAATAATTGTAATATTTAATAATAATAAGCAATTATAGATGACATTTATATGTCAATATATTCCTCTGTTTATCTTGGCATATATCAAATATAGTTTTTCTAATAAATGTAAATACATGTACATGTAATATTAGATTGTTGGACTCCAAAAATTTTCTACTCCAATATACTTCAATATCATAATAATTAATAGATTTGTTATATTTAAAAAACATTAACAAAATGAATTTGTTTTGAGAAGATTTATCAGCATTGAATGATTTTTTACAATATAAAACTTTTATTTCTAACAGGAGTCCCTCTGAAGGACATCAAATGTAGAAAACATCCCAGAATTCCCCTGGACCAGTTCTGTACCCCGTGTGGTGTTCCCTTGTGTGTGGAGTGTACCAGCTCTGAGAATCACAGCAGACATGACCTTAGAAATATAGAGACATTGTTTGACAGCATTCACAGGATAGAAAGTATGAGTTTGAAGCTGTTTTAAAATTTGATACATGTAGCAAATGAAATATATTTTAAAGAATGACTTTCATTCTGCTTTAATTATCAAATAAAATATTTATTTATACTATGACCTTCCATGGCCTGAGCCAAACACCAAATGAGTAATCTGATCAACAATTGTGGCCATCCATTTAATTATCTGCCTTATTGTCTATAGGTTGTCTGTAACAAACATAAAGGAAGTATATACATGTATGGAGATCACTTTGTTATTTGTCTGTCTAGCTGTTCATTTATGTCTGTACGATTATTTCCAAACCAAAATTTATCATGGTGAAACTCCTGTGATCGGGAGTTTGAATCTCGACTGCGACTGACCTAGTAAGTCAATAACAAGAGGCCCAGGGGCCACAGAGCTCACCTGAGCACATTGGCTTGAATTTACCCCCCCCCCCTCCAGGCGTTCATCATTTGAACAAACTAGAATCTACACTACCTGAGGATGATTCCATATAAATATCACTAATCATAGCTTTGAAGTACTTGAAAAGAAGATTTTAAAAGGTTTCCCTATATATCCCTATGTAAAACTTGGGTCGGCCATTTTGGCCCCACCCTAGCCCCGGGGTCATGATTTGAATAAACTTGAATCTGCACTACCTGAGGATGATTCCACATGAGTTTCATCTTTCCTGGCCTAGTGGTTCTAGAGAAGAAGATTTTTAAAGATTTTTCCTATATATTCCTATGTAAAACTTGGGTCGGAAATTTTGGCCCCACCCTTGCCCCGGGGGTCATGATTTGAACAAACTTGAATATACACTACCTGAGGATGATTCCACATGAGTTTCATCTTTCCTGGGCCAGTGGTTCTGGAGAAGAAGATTTTTAAAGATTTTTCCTATATATTCCTATGTAAAACTTGGGTGGCCATTTGGCCCAACCCTAGCCCCGGGGGTCATGATTTGAACAAACTTGAATCTACACTACCTGAGGATGATTCCACAAGAGTTTTTTCCTGGCCCAGTGGTTCTGGAGAAGGATTTTAAAGATATTTCCTATATATTCCTATGTAAAACTTGGGTTGGCCATTTTGGCCCCACCCTTGCCCCGGGGGTCATGATTTGAATAAACTTGAATCTACACTACCTGAGGATGATTTCACATGAGTTTCATCTTTCCTGGCCTTGTGGTTCTGGAGAAGAAGATATTTAAAGATTTTTCTTATATATTCCTATGAAAACTTGGGTTGGCCATTTTGGCCCCATCCTTGACCAGGGGTAAGATTTGAAAAATTGA